GCAGCGGCTGTCAGGCCTTGGAGATCCCTTCCCTAATACTGCCTTTTTGCCCTGCTGAGGGAGAACTTGAAATGCCCTATGGATGGCTGAGCTTCCTTTAGTTATTCAGTTCTGCAAATGCAGTCTTAAACGCTTTGATCCATTTGCTAATCCTGGTTAGGATTCCCATGTTCATTGCCATGTGGGTCCCGAGAACTGGACTTGTGGTTCTGTACCCCCCAAGCTTGCTTTGTCAAGAAGCATAAGGTCTCTTCTTATGTTTATGACGAATTTGATGTAAACCAGTCAGCTGAACTTGGTGAGCCAGTGGAAAGTCAAAAGTAGCATTGCCCTGGCATATTTACATGTGCAGTCTTAGAGAAAAAACACAACAATATCATAAAGCCAATGGGGTAAATTCATCATTTCATTGATAGCTGGATTGACCTGATTCTGCTGTGTTGTGACTTGCCTTCTAGCTTGCAGCGTATTCCTATTTTATTTGCCCCTTCTTGACTGATACCCTATTTGAAATGTTGGTGTTTATCCAAACTGCAGCACCTGATCTGAGCTGCATGCCTGAGTTATGCACTGACCCATTTCGAGAGCCAAAAATGTAAGGCGATTTTTAGAAAATTGGCCTTTTCTAAAAGAAAAGTGAGTTTTTCTTATATAATTGTAGTCTGACGCTCAGTGGCCCATGGATGCCCCTCTTTGTGAGATGTATTTAGCTCACTATTAGCTATTGCCTTACAAAAAGATAGTCCAATTCATGCACGTCAGGGTATGTGAACATGGAAATCAAGCACCTGGGATCTTAACAGCATTGGGCTCTCTCTAAAAGGAAAGTGAGGGACACGCTTGGCACACACAAAGCTGTTTTATTTACTCCAAGAAGATCATGCTGCCGGTTGATGACACACCTTCCTTCCCCCCTCTACTTCTCATTTTCTGTACATCTAGGCCCTCCAATCCCGGAAACTATTTACATCTCCCTTGCAAACCACGACTGTCCTTTTCTCTCATTCTCTTTTTTGCACAATCCCTTTTGTGTGTCTTGTCCTGTTGACCTCGACCCTCTCCCACCAAAGCACAGAAATGGTGATGGTGCGAATCACCACTGCCTTTCTTGGTACCTAGGCTAACACCATCCAGCTGCTGCCTGGGATTTTCCAAGGGATCGTGCAGGTTTCAGGCTGATTGAGACATGTTTGGTGGTTCAGCAGAGTTTGCCACAAGGGGGGGTGAAGAACAGAACCCAGCTGTGGAAATTTACTGACTCCCTGCAGATCTCATGACTTCTTGCTAAATCTGAAAATTCCCTGAATAAGAACAATTCTGTTCCTTAACCGCCTGTGCGGCCTTTCATCTTTCTGTGGTTACCTGAATGTCGCATGGTCACTGGCATTTTTCCTATAGGCTACAGACAGCAGTTCATCATTCACTGAAAGGGCAGAAGATAAGGAATTCATTAGTGAAACCACTAGTTTCTGGTACAAAGAACTTCCACACAGATGGTGAATTAAAACTTCTATATATTCAACAAATTAGCAAACGGTGTGCCAACATTTGTGAAATCTATGCACATTAAGAGTATGAGTGGGAGCAAATAAGGTTGGGAAGAATCTTTCTCAGCTTCTGTTTTCAAACAGCAACTTGCAAAGAAGCCTATTTCCCTTGACTGCTTTTTAAAGGTAAATATGTGCAAATTTCTTTAAATCATCTGAAGTGGATGATGGTTATGACTGAAAGATAAGGAGGGATTTGTCTGTCTGACAAACTTCCCCTCTGTTTTCGTAGGGTTGGTATTTTGAGAAGTGGTGAAACACTGCTCAGTGCAAAACATGGGGCACATTGTGAACTGGAGATGTGCCAGCTGATGGGCTGAGCAGAAACTGTTGAAATGCAATGTGCTTCAGGGCTCAGCTCTGTTTCCTGCACTAGAAATCCTTTCCAGTGATGACTCTATGTAAAGATCTCCGTCTCCAGCCCACAGGAGATCAGTGTAATGCTTACTACAAAGTCAATAGGAATTTTCCATTAGTACAATCAATTGTTTTTAGTCATCTTTACACTGGACCATATCATCTGCCCATCAGAATTAATATTATTTATTGAAAATGCTGAGGAGGAAGAGTGGAAGAAACCAGAGAAAAATATCCTGAGTTTGTGCCGAATGGGACACAGAGTAAATCTGAAATAATGTAATTTCTGGACAAGCCATGGTTAGACATAGAAACAGCAACAGTGATAAGAGATGACCAACGCAATCAGCTCAAGCACCACTGGAGGTAGCAGCCCAGTGCATGGTGCAAGGCCCTGAGACTGCCAGTAACGCCATGCAGTCTGGTTTTGCTTTAGTGTTATCAGTAAGGCTTTGTACAGACAAACAACTCACTCACACATAACTGTACTGCAAGAGTCCAGGCAGCTTCCATGCAAACCAGGAGATCTGCCTATTTGGAGCTGCTTTTAGGCTAGGGACGAAGCAATGCAGTAAGAAACTGTGGCATCCATTTTCACAGACCACAGAATCATTTGAGTTGGAAGGGACCCTTAATGGCCATTTGGGCCAACCCAATGAACAGGGAGGGACCATACAGTTCAATCAGGTGCTCAGAGCCCATCCTGCCTGACCTGGGTGTCTCCAGGGATGGGACACCCAGCACCTCTCTGGGCAAAGATGTATTGAAATAGTAATTCAAATAGTAACAAAACCATAGTGGTTTTGGGTGGCAGCAGGACATTTGCAGGTGGATAATTAGCTAACTCAATAACAATAATCCCTGTTATGCACAGCCAAAATCTCTGTACAATACAGCATTCCAACATACTGAAAATTGACATAATGAAAATTCTCTGTCTGTGCAGGAAAGGATAAAGAAGGTGATCCCAAAAACCCCAGGAAAATTTAAAAGAAACACAAGATCAGAAAGCAAAACCTGCAGAGAAAAGCAAACGCATTAAAGGCAGCAAGACTGCAGTGCTGCAAGTCGTACAAAATGAATGCAGTTCATCGTGCTGAACTGTTCATGCTCAGACCATATATGTTCAGTTCTTGACAAAGTAATCTCTTTTCAAAGCTACATAATGCAGCAGAGTCAGCGAGGAACGAGTTATAAACAAAGAACCTATTCAGCTGTCAAAGTAATTTTCAGCTATATTAAAACAGAATAAGATGGGACAGATTCTGCAAAGCCTTCTGCTGCCCCGTGAAGCCGGTGGCGTTGCATGTGTGTAGATGGTGCAGAACAAGGCATGCGTGCGTGCACAGGCAGGCGCCCACGCGAACACATGTACACACACGTGCACAGGATAATCACCCACTGCCTTTCTGAGCTCATGCTGTAAATTGCAGAACAGTTATTCAGATAGCATTTTCGCTCTGCACTTAGGGATGTCACCAAGTTCTGGCCATTCCGATGACGTGGTTTTGTTTCCATAGAAACCCATGTACTTTGGAGTGGGAAAAGCAGAAGGAGACTGAGAAAAGCAGAAAAATAATGCAAAATAAGGGATGTGTGTGGTATGAATAGATCGTTTGGGTTGCGGGGCTTGTAACAAAGAGACTTGCCTCTTCAGCAGGGAAATGCCTTATTTATTTGTCACTCCAGAACATTCACAGACGTTCAGATTTGTGCCAATTAAAAGAATGCACCATCCTATTTTTTCCATATGCTAACCACCATTAGATGAACTCAATCTGTATTAGAGAAACCAGGCTTTCAACGTGCTTTCTGCTGACGCATGGCTTTTGCTGTTTGTTATGTTTCTGGTGTCATTAGCAGGTGTTTCCTATCTTCATCCCCAAACTGGGGAAGGAGGCGGGGCCTGGGAAACTGCAGATTTCAACTAAGGTTCAATGAAATACCTGTCAAGTCTCCTATAAATAAAACCCTGATCTGTACCTCCCAAGGGGTGGGTAGGGAGAGGCATGCTGGAGCTATTCTATGATTCTTCTTAAAACAGCCAACTTGCCATTGAATCATTTAATTGCTAATTAAAAATCCTGGATAAAACAAGCTGTCTACAGCTTTCTGGCAAACATCCTGCTGACTTTGATAGGGCCAAGATTTTACCCTTTCCTTGACTGCAGAGCTTGTTTGTTGTTACTTCTTTTCCTTAGAGCTGTTCTGTGTCTTATACCAGATGTTTTTTTCCTCTTAATTATTCAGTTTCTTTCCCTTTTAATCATAGAATTGCTCAGGTTGGAAAAGACCTCAAAGATCATTGAGTCCAACCATGACCTAACCATACTACCCTAACTAACAACCCTCCGCTAAGTCATGTCCCTGAGCACCACATCTAAATGGTTTTTAAACGCATCCAGGGATGGTGACTCAACAGCCTCCCTGGGGAGCCTATTCCAGTGCTTAACAACCCTTTCTGTAAAGAAGCGTTTCCTGATATCCAACCTAAACTTACCCTGGCACAACTTGAAGCCATTTCCCCTTGTCCTGTCACCAGTGAGAAGAGACCAACCCCCCTCTCACTGCACCTTTCAGATATTGGAAAAGAGCAATAAGGTCTCCCCTCAGCCTCCTTTTCCCCAGACTGAACATGCCTCAAAATTTTCTCAAACGTTATCTAACTTCAGCTCCAAAATACTTAACATGATGGACCACAACAAGCAGTCTGTGACTAGGCTAGTTTTGTTTTACCCACATCCTTTTCTGCTGTGGTCTTGAAGAGGACAGGAAGTAGGTATGAGGGTAGTGTTTCAGCAGCTAAAGACTTCCTCTGGCTGCTCTGTATGGTCAGACACCTAGACCTGCAGGTTCCCCATTACCAGAGCTATGTTTTGCTTCTGGTGTCTGACCAGCTGGAAAAGGGTTGGACCTGGAGCATCCAGCCATGTGTCCCAGGACTGAATGCTGGGAGAGGCAGAGTCTTATATATTAGAATGCTGTCAGCAATGTAATGAAATTACTGTTCTGTTTCTGAATATTCCTCAAATGTGTGTTTGTCATGTCTAACCATTTGGTATTTACTAGTCATATCTTCTGCAATTTTGCATTCAGAGTCTACGTTAGGAGAGACCTATTCTGATTTTGCCTGGAGCTGAATAACTCTTCAATGCACCTCCACTGTCACCCCTGATGGCTCCCTGCTTTAAGGTAGGAATGTACCAAGAAACCATGGCTTCCAGCAGGCTTTTGGGCAGAGTGCACTTGAATTACTGTGTCCTTCATGAGAAGCTGCTGTGGGTCACACCGAGCCTTAAGTTTACTGAAATTGCGTGGACCTGCTGCATTCTTAGGGAACAGAGTACAAAAATATGGCTAGTACCCAAATCCCTTACCAACACGTGTTGCCTGTAATGTTGACGTGATTCAAGCCCATACTCATCAATTGATCTTTGCTGAACCAAATCCATATCTAACACCCAGTACTGACTTGTAAGAGTCTTGTTTGCTAAGTAAAGGAACATTTGACTTGGCTGATCAGCTCTTACCTTGGTTGTTTTCCTTGGCTTTAAACTTTGAATTTTACAAGTTCTACAGGATGAATGCTCTGTTTCACTTCTTTGTGTACAGATAGAAAGAAGCAGTTTGTAAACCGTGTGCTTTGTAGGTAATACAATATTTTTCTCCTCTGGAGTCCATCAGTGTTGATGCTTACCATAAATGTATGAGACCTCATGCAGATCTTTAGGCTAGAATCTCAGAGGTTCATTCCCTTGCACATCTTATCGTTAACATTTATTATTCTTTCTCGGAACAAAGAAGAGGGCTTACCTTGAACTTCAGGCAAATCTCACATCACTGTATTTGCAAATGGGTTGCATGTAGGACTCAGCAAGATTTCATTTAACCTTTTCTATAGTGTTGGTTGCAATTCTCTGGAGGTGGGATGAACAGGGAAAATTCTATTTGGCTTTAACATTCTGTATTAGTTGGTGTTTTGTTTTCCTTGTTCCAGAAGCTGGATGTTATCTTTGATAGCATGCCACTGAGTATAGCGATCCTGAATGACAGAGCATCTCTTGCATGTGCTACTGCTGATTCATTTTGTGTGCTTCCTGTGAGGTAATGAAATACCTCAATCACATCAAAACTGCTGATTTTTAGATAGTAGCTATTATGTAAACATTATACATAATGTGACAAGCTTGAAGGCCAGATCTAGATGGTAATGTTCAAGGGTGATGTTGGTGCGCAGAAAAATAATCTTCTGGAAGCCACTGTACCTTCTTGCAGGAGTAAGGAGGATTTGCGTGACTGTAAGCTCAACATTGAGCTCTTAGTGTTATTCAGGTTCAAAAATTAATAAGGTAGGAAAAAAAAAAAACCCAACAACCAAAACCCTACTAATAATAAATCTGTGCAATCTTAGTGTACTATTTATCATCTTCTTGTACCAAAACAAAGTTGGTGATGTACTTTGCCTTGAGCAAACATTCGTATTTTCCAGACTCAGCAATGTGGTACTGGTTTTCAACCTCTCTGGTCTTGCTGTTTCCTGTCTTCCTTTCCCAGACTTTGGAGTTTTTCACCTAAATTTTCCTCTTTCGCTTTTAATGGAAAAGCAAAATAAAGTTTGTGATCAGAGCCTTCTCCCACACTAGAGGATTTTAAATTCCTAGATGAGACTCAGCAGGAAAAGATGATAGCGTAATTTCCTTAGAAATTTTATAGTTGAAGCATTTATAGTAATAAACCTTTGAGCACTGAGATTCTGAAAGAGGTACCTGAACCAGCACGTTTTGAAAAGTGTTTCCTAGATAGAAACCCAGGAGGAGGAAGAGGAGCGGGGAGCACACGCAATGCAATCATATAACTTGGACGTGTAATTTTCAGCAAAAGAGTTTCCTTGTCACATTTAGTGTTTTTGTTCCTTATGACAAATTGTTTATGTAGAAAGTAAAGTTGTTCAGTCTCGGTACTGTTCCAAATTTTAAGCTTTTGGTTTTCTTCATGTGTTTGGGTTTTTTTTTACATCACTTAGTGGTGATGGGTTCACTTGGCATGATTGGTTAGCTCAGCCACGCTTAATGACTTTGACCTTATAAACTATATTTGACTCAGAAAGGTCTCATCCTGTTGTTGGAAGGAGAGTCTGCCTCATTACTCGGTGAAATTTACTTCTAATGAAAAAGGTTTTGTCATGGTAGGATTCAGCAAGACTCAAGTGGTGCATGTTACTTATGCTTTTCTGTTTTATTGGGCTGAATCCTGCTCTTAGTGTGTCTTTTGAGTATGACAGCCATGAGTTTTTGCTTTTTTACAGGGACTGTTTTCTCTTTCTAAGTAAGAAAGCAGGCCTGAATGTGTCGGTCAGAAGCATTCTTTGGAGCAGTCAGTTGGTATAGTTGGTGCAAGCTACCTTGTAGTGTAATTCATGCTGTTAGTGCCACTCAAGACTTAGCTTGAATTCTTACTGCATGATAGTTTCCTTGACACAATGGTGGCGAGATGCTTCCCTACTCCTAAGAGAACCTGGGGTACACTCAGTGATTGCTTGTTTTGCTGAAAAGTTACAATTCTCATAAAATCTTTATCAACAGGTAGCTCCTTCTTCAAAAACCTGGTGCTGTTTCCCAGGGTGGAGATACCCTCTAGTATCTAGCAGATTAAAAGCAGCTGTGGTACCATTTGTTTTGTGTGAACACTGGTGGGTCAGCTGTTTGCAGGAGCTTCCCAGTGCAAACAAATTTTGTGAGCTACATTTTGCTTTTTAAATAAGTAATTTTTGTTGTTAAAGAATTGCTGGAGACAGCCCTGTTCTCTTTCAGTAATAACTATAATTAATCTTGGTTATAATGTAATCCTGATACAAAATGCATCATTGCACGTTGACAAATGAAATATTTGGCACCAGTGGTGTTTACACTTGCATTGTTGCTGTACTCCTGTGTGTGCAGGAAGGTAAGGTGAAGTATTTCCTAGATTTCCAGACTATTCCTAAGGTTCATCATGGAGCAGAAATTCAGAAACATTCTGTTTCAAAGAAGGCTCCATGACCAACACAATTACACCAGGGTTTTACTGGATGTCAGTGGTGTTCTTTCATTATCTTCACATAGGTTATACCTTGATTTCATTTTATTACGGGGTTTTCCAAATTCCTACAGTCTGAGCACTTCACGAGCCTCTTTGTGCTCCTGCTTTGTGTGAACATCCATCCACCTTAAGAAATTTCTCTGTCCAAATGGAGTAGTGACAGAAGCCACAGCTGGTTAATTCACCCCACTCTGATGCTCACTGTCTTAGCTCGAGTCACTAAATGATACACAAATATTATTTTAGTACACCTCATGGCTGTATATATTGCTTCCACTCTTCCTATGTTCCTGGTGCTTGAGCAAGAAGAAATCAGAAAATGGTGAATTTTAGGATGTGTTGAGAAACTTGCATGGGCCTTGCTTCCGGGAAGAACGTAATTATGTGCTGATAAATAGCAACTTATCTAAAAAATACTCAAGAAAGTATTTCTTAAATAAGAGCACTTCTCTGGAACTGAGCACTTGGTAGCTGGCAGTTGGGCTTTTTTTTTTTGTTTGCTTATTTGTTTTAGTATTTCAGCACCCTGCTGACAGTGTTGTGAAAGCCTTGCTGGGTGTTTGCCAATTAACTGATAAACTTTTACTTGCTTGATGATTTTATAACTCCTCTGTATGAAATAAGTTTGTCATTTGTTTGACTTCTCTCCTGCATTTTGTGTAAAAATGCTACCTAATCTCACAAAGAAAGACCTTGAGACTTAAATTCTTGCAGAGTTATCAAATACAGCAATCAGAGTCTGAGCACTTAACAGAGCAGTCATAATATTTTTTGTGATATTTTTAGTATTATTAAAGATGATTACTGTTGTATTATTAAATACATCAAGCTCTCTTATATTCTGTAATGTAATTTTCCACTTCACTTCCCCTATTTTTACATGTATTAATACATCTTCCAGTTAAGGTCTTTTTTCATTGCTCATTGTGTGTCACACTTCAGAAAACAACTGTGATTTTGCAAATTGGAGTCCCAAAAACTGTTCCTCTTTCCAATGACCACTCAGCTCATAGAAGCCGATGGGTAGGTGAAGGTCAGAAGTATGACAGGGTCACCAAAGACACCAAACTAATGAGCAGGGATTTTTTTCGTTACCAAAGGATTGAATAGGAACAAAGAAAATCTCCCACAAACTGTGGACATTTCTACTCTGTGATTGTTGGTGTTATGTTAGATATTTTCAGGCATTCAGGTAATAGATACAAAATGGGATGTATGAGATAAGGTATAGAAATGATATCTGGAGGCTGCCTTAGCTGTGAGAGAATGGAAGAATTCTTATTCAGTACAGATGAAATAAATTTCTATCCACAGGGCATAGGCATTGAGAGGAAAATAACTTATTTGAAACCAAGGGCTATAACAGCCTAATTTTGTTCTCTAGACCCAGGTAAATTTCATCCTAACACAATAAATAAATACATAATATAAAGTACAGTGCTATTTCCTGATTCATGATCTTGTTAGACTCCAAATAAACATATATCATGCTGGAATTGCAATAACACAGGCTTAGTACATAGATGGGGAATTGCATCCACCTACTGAACATGAGGAAGGCATACCAAAAGCAAATCATTTAGAGGAGAATGGAATTCTCCTTTAGACTCAGTGATGTTTCTGTTGTGTTTTCCCCTGGAAGATGGTCCTTCTCATGTGCAAGTATTTTTAGATATTTTATTTCTTAAGCAAAAAAAAAAAAAGAAAAACAAATTTCAGATATTTTGCTATACGTTATTGTTATTCTGTAAGTTTAAAAGCTACTTCAACAATATAACTTGATTGGATTGGATTGGATAGGGATTTAGAATTAGCAGTATTACCCACAGAGTTCTTAATCCAAGGATGGAAGTTGGACAAGAAAGCATCAATAAGCAATTTATGGAAAACAATGGCACAAATCAGCAAGCCACGCTACAGCAGTCCTAGCACACCCTTTGCAGGGCTTGTGTGGAAGGGATTTAGCAGATGAGCTTGGGTGGCTGAACAAGGTGGAGGGTTTGGGCCCCATAGAAAGGCCAAATCTGTGAAACTGCTTCTCACCCAGCCTTAAATCTCATTTAAGACCTTGGAATATATTCAGGGATATTATGCTGAAAGAGTGATTTTTCACACATCTAGAAAAATATCACACTATCAGCTGTGTTGAGTTACAGTAGGGCTCAAATGTTGCAAGTTGAGGAGGAAGGTGAGAAATAAATGGCCAGTGCCTCTTTAAGAATCCACAAGAGCAAAGCAATAAAAACGAAATACAATAACTCAGATAATAAAAACATTATCTTACAGATTTCATACAAACTTTGCCTTAGGGAGGCCACCTGGTTTGTGTTTTACTGATACAGCTGTTCAGACTTTTTTTCCTTTTGCTACATGAAAAATAGAGGAATTTGAACAGCTGTCTGGGTTAATTTTTTTAATGCCTTCAGTAAGTAAAAATAAAGGCAAGTGACATGAATAAGTGATGTGAAATTGCCTCTAAAGATGCTTTAAAAGCTTTCCAGACTAATTCCTGGACCTCATGAAGTGCAGTGAATGAAGTTGTGTGCTCAGTAAGAGGGTGAGCAGGGTGGATGCTGCTGGTCAGTTTCTCCTCTCTCCATGCAGATGAGAGTTGCTCAAATTGGGGCTAACTGGCAAAATCATTTATACTGGAATTTGCCCAAGGTAACCCCATTGGCTTCACTGAAATTGCTTAGAATTTCCATAACTGAAATTAAAATCACTCAACAAACCCAAGCAACAAACCGAGCCAACTAATTTTGCTGAATACCATCCATAATTTGTTCTGTTGCTTTCCAGGGATGTACTCCTTGTTGTGAAGGGAGAAAGTGAACAGAAGAGGTCAGGATGTCTGAGCAGACATCGTTTCTCAGAGAGGAAGGTTATTTTTGCTCTTTTCCAAATTGCAGTGTTTTGGTGGGAGGGAAAAGCAGCTGCCCTGCTGACGAACGGCATCCCAGCAGGCTGAAGTCTGGTCCAGTTTGACCAGGTGATGGAGTGAAGCAATTGGGAACCGCTTTGCTTTTTGTTGCCCAGTGTTTCACACACCTCTAGCAGCAAACCCTCTCTGTTGCCAAGACAACCCCGAAGAAATCCGAAATCCAGAACAATACCCTGTGCACGAGACGCCTCGTATTCGTTAGTGCATGCGTTCATTTTGAATGTCGAGAGGAACACTGCCCTCCAGATCAAGCCGGGTAAGTCCAGGTGAAGGTGTAGGTGACGTCTGTAAGGTGATAATGGCTTGCATTTATAGATTCTTTTGTCCTAATGGCTGCCAAAGCTCCAGGGCTGGCACTGAGAGCCTGCTCAGTGTGATTCCTGCACTGCAGCACTGCCTGAAGCTTACTAGGATGCTTCCTGGGGCTGTCCCAAAAATACTCCAGGGCAGGAGCGCTGACTGCTCTCCCCAGCCCCTGCTGCATGTGAGGGTGTTGCAGTGAGCACCAAGCTGTCATGATGTGATTTTGCAGTGGTTTCTAAAGATTTCTCAGACAGATGAATACAAGTTAGTGCAGCCATGAAGGTCTTTTCACTTAATAATTGGGTCTGGACAGAGCTGTGCTTGGCCTCTAGGTCAAAGGAAATGTGTGTGTGACTTGAGCCTCTTTACGTAAGGTCTTGGCTCCATGCAGGACAGTGCTATAGCTTTGGGTTTTTTAATGCTTATTTATTTAACCTTGGTGAATGTAAATTGGACAGAGGTCCAAGAGGTCAGATTAAACACCTCCATTGACTTGTAGGGTTTTCTGTTTCTTTTTTCTGTTTCTTTTTCTGTTTCTTAGAGAAATGCTACGTGCAGTT